TCCAAGGAGATCAATATCTTATATTGCAAGAATTGATAAAACATGTTTTTGGTGATAATGTTAAAATCACTCATAAGTTTACTTTGACCATAATATCTTGATGATATCAACTACAGTTTTCCTTTAAAAGTGGGAGTTCTCTCTTCCTTAAAGTTCAAAGTAATTTTTATGAAGTGTGGTCGAATCATCGATGTGGCAAACTGCTAGGTTTATGAAAAATATCAAAGACGAAAGACCACAAAATACGCTTTGTTTTTTTGTTTTTCTCTATTTCGTTTGTTGTTTAATAAAAAAACAAAAACACGTTACTACAGCCCTCCTTAACAATAGATACCCGGAAAACTTTATAAACAAAAAATAAGAGTATGAACACCGAATATAAACTGGGATAAGAATTCCAGATTCGCAGCCATATATCCCTATGTCAGATGTCTCTATGAGAACATACATAGTGTGTGCAAACAACATAAGCTAGAATAGTATTCAGAAATTACAGCACAATATGATCACATCTAGTACATACAGACCACTTAAAGACCCAATCGAGAGGTTAAAAAACCGTTTAGAACATCCACTGTGAATGCAGGTTCTAATGCAATGGAGAAATAAAAAGACCAACACAAGCTGGGCCGAGCGTGGCCCAATGGTTGGCGTGCCGGACTGTGGATCCAAGGTTTCGTGGTATAAGAATGACAGTCAAGTTTCATTATTCGGTTTGAGTTACCGAAGAGTTGAAGGTGGGTTTTGTTAACTGGCTGTTTTACCTCTAGTCTATAGCTTCAAAATTAGGAACGGCTAGCGCAGGTAGCACTCGGGTAGCTTTGCACGAAATTCAACAAACAATAACCAATATAAACAGAATTTAGAAACATAATACAGGACTCGGTAATACCGATAAACCTACAATAACACATCACGCCAAAGAAGATCACACAAAAGATTGGAATAATGCTGAAATAATGGGATGTGAATCACACATGGAAAAATAGGTCTTTACCTCCATCTGTTTGATAACACACTCATTCAACCTAGCATAGATATCATCAAAACTTGGATACCCATTAGAAAACATTCAAACAGTTAGTTGACGCAAGTTCGAATGGTTAACGCTCAAGACTTCCATCAAGAAAATTTAGGACCGAATCCCGGCCACTATAAGAAAAGTCTCGTTTTCGGGACTTCCATGTTTGGTGACGGGACTTGAACCTGGAACCTGTAGATTGCAAGTCCAGCACCGTAACTTCTAAGCTATGGCAGATCTCGAGTAATTTAATATGAATCAAACATTCCAAGTTGATGCTACCATTACAATCACACTTGTAGATTAAATATCTTTTTTTTGAGGAGTCGTTACTTTGACATTACCGCTGGTTTTTGGCAGACATTTACATAAAAGATCAATTACTTCGACATTCTGGTTAGATCTTTGAATATATGGAATTGTTACTGCGAAATATTGGCTGTTTTTATCATATAAATGTGTTTAATCAATATTCACATTGGTTTCTTGGATGTATTTAGCGGAAGAACTGGTCACCTCGATTTCTTGTGCATCTTTCTTTAAAAAATAGTTACTACGGCATATGCACTTTGCTTTGCATGTCTCTGACTTTTAAACATTGTTTACGTGGTATATCTTTGTTTACGTAGACTATCACTTCAAATGCAATTCTTCATGTATATTTGCTTCACAAAATGGAAAGCCCGAACCTCACGTTAGTTCCTTATATACATGTCGATTTGACCGATCACGTGACCTCTTTGTACTCGTATAAAGTCTTTATAGATTTGATATTACTAACTTTTAATAGTATGCATATCATAATTTGGCTGTCTTTCAGTAAACACATACAAAAAATCATTTTTGGAAAGTATTTTAACAAATAAAAAAAATGTCCGTGAAATCATCAAGTATTTGTTTTGAATAGTCCTTGTGCAAAAGGATTTTCACATTAAGACAAAAAATGCTTTTCTTCATCTAAAAAATCTCAGATTTCATTTGTGTGATCTCTAAAAACTCCTAAATACATTTATCTTTTATTTTGTCTACCTTAACTCTATGCAGAAAAAAATCGAAATAAATCTAAATTACCCTTTTTTCTTTCTAGAATGACTTCAAATTGTAACATGAAACTACATTTGCTTATCCTAAGTAGCTTTAAACTCCTAACAGTATACATCTACATATAATTAAATTTTATTCTTTTATTGCCCTTTTAACCTTGTCTAACTACTATTCGCGGCATAGTAAGTTGTAACTCAGTTAGGGAACGTGGAGGTCACGTTATAACTATCTAATTATGTTAACCACGAGCTGCTCATGTTGTATCTCGTATTTATTTTACCTAATCTAACCTTAACTAAGCTAAAGAGATCCCTGTTTTTACATGTTAGTTGCTTTTATAATAAAAAACGTGAAAAACAAGAAATAAAGTACTTGCACGAGTCTTCTTTTTTCTTACTGTCGATTGTCAATGACACTTAACCCTACTTTTCTATACTAATGGTAGTAATGCACTAAGTAATTTTTATTTAATTGAATAATGCACCGAAGAATATAGACTAATAACATGCAAAATATAGACAATTTCCCCTAACTCTCACAATTTTCTGGCTTTCTAGCTATGTGACAAGAGCCATTACAAATTCACCCAAGCTAATTGTTATCTTTCCCGTGGGAACGAAACTTGTAATAAGAGTGAAATTGACAATTCTCCGTTCAGAAAACAACATTTTGTAACACGTCATTTGATAGATGAAAATTTTGGCTTTCTATTGGTAACAGATAATATAGAATTAAACTTGAGAGAGAACTATTAACAAATCTTGAAAGAGAAGATGTGACAGGTGGGTGTGGCAAGAGGAGTTTGGTTTTCTATTTGATAGCTCTGTAACCAAACAAAATTGAAGGCTATAAAAATTATAGTTTGTCTGAGTAATGAAGATATTATAGTGAGTAATTTACGGTGAATTTCTGAATTTCGTCTTTATTAGAGGGGTGGTGGATAAACTAGAGAAGAGGAGATGCCAAGAGAAAATGTGTCGCACTAAGAAAAATTCAGGATTTTTGAAAATATTTCCTTACAAAATTAAGAATTTAAAATTTATATATTGTAACAAAAAATAGATTAAGAAAAGTTTGAATGTAAGTCACTAAAACCTCGTGACATGCGCAGTAAAGGATGCCCGTCGGGATAGGGTTGAAGGAAATGCTCATCTGTTACTGAATAACCGCTTTGAGAATTCTTATTTTTCATTAAATAACATAGGATATCTTAAGGGAGTCGTAAGATCAAAATACATGTCACATTTTGTTAATATACTGTTATATTATTATTATTATTACCTTAAATCAGATAAATATATTCTAAATAACTTTTACAATCGTAATAATTGCGTGTATGTACACTGTTGGCCACTTTATGAAGGGGTGGAGGTGGTTAGAGCGCTCGACTCGCAATCTGCGTGTCGCGGGTTCAAATCCCCGTCACACAAAACACACTCACATTTTCAGCCGTGGATGCGTTATAATGTGATGGTCAATCCCACTATTCGTTGGTAAAATAGTAGCCCAAGAGTTGGCGGTAGGTGGTGATGACTAGCTGCCTTCCCTCTAGTCTTACACTGCTAAATTAGGGTCGGCTAGCGAAGATAGCCCTCGTGTAGCATTGCGCGAAATTCAAAACAAACAAACAAACTTTATAAGGACCATCAACATACTGATACACCACTCTACTTATTTGAGAACGTAAAATACACTGATTTGTGATTGTCAAGTGACTACAGAAATGTAGGCATATCGTGGTTAGAATGCAAAACAAAGGGTAAGAACAAGTATCTCTTTGGTTTCAAAAGAGGGTCCGTATAGGAGGGATATCCAAAGACATCCGTCATCAATGTTTCAGCAGTAGAGGTCGAAAGGAAGATAGCTCTACTACTGTGATTACCAAATACCTGTTAAAGAATGACCGTGGAAAAAGGTCATATGTTGGGTTTGTAAAGTACAATATATGTCAATCTGTGTTATAACTAATGATTCTTTCAACAGATACAAGCAGCTAGAGTGGATATGTAATGGTACAAAAACAATATTAGGTATTTGACTCTTTTTGTTATCCCGACGATATAAGTAGTTAGAGGTAGTATAATGGTGAAAAGTAAGAGTATAAGGAAAACAACATTAAGCATTTGACTCTTCTTTTGTTCTTTCTACAATACAAACAAATAGAGTTGGTATAATGGTGCATGGGGGAATGTTTTTGTGGCATAGGTGGGGTCCTTTGATTCATTTGAAAAGTATAATAATATTAGATATGTATTTGACATTACTGTCGTTCATGTTTACCTCATAAAGCTGCATTTGTATCCTGGTGGAGAACATTGCTTTCATCACCGTAATATTCTATCAATAATTTAAAACCAAATTACGAATTATATTTTTTTAATAAATATGGTAGCAAATACATAACAAAGCATTCCAGCATCTTGCAGAGTTACTGCTGAGCCGAGTTCAAGTTATTTAGCGGCGAAAGGTAGGGTAATCCGATGGTAAGTGGAGTCTAAGAGGGATGGTAAAGTTGCCAATCTGTTTAGTGGTAAAAATTCCTTATATGTCTATATATGTATTAATATGTATTTTAAGAACTGTAATTCAGTTATTTTAGCTTTCATGAACAATAATTTTTGTAATGGAATTTGTAAATGTTTACGCATGTTTAATCATTTTTTTTTATATATATGGAGGTGTATGTGTGTATGTCTGTGTGTGAGAGAGAAAAGAAAAGTATTGGCATTACATGGAAATTCGCCCACCAGTACGGTTCAATTGGTTTTATCTACTATACGCAATATTTATTTCTTGAACCTTTTCTATTGTCCACAAATTGGAAGATAAAAGTACACTTTTCAGTGTTATGAAATAGGGAGCTCACACTTCGTCATGGTGGAATGTAATTCGTTGTTAGCAGCTCACCTAAATTCTCATTTTTCCCTATCTAAAGATGTTGTCACTTGATTCCTGGTGGTCTGAATGACGTCTGTTTTGACGTAAGTGAAAAGAAGGAAAATCATGCCCTCGTTTTGTGTGGAGTCATCAATATGTGAACCAGGATAATGGAATGGAACACGACATAGGTAATAAATACTAACTAACTGTAAAGACATATAATCTATTTTTTGACATATGGAACATAATTTAAATAATTATTTAAATTTCATTCAAGGAACACGTAATGAGTGAAAAATTTTAGTTTTATTTGAAAGTTTTTGTTAAGTCATTATGAAATATTCTTACACAGTTATTATAACCAATGAACTGAAGTACTGAAATATTTGTGAATGTAAAAAGACATAAGATAGAAATATGCCTTAAAAATTACTTTTAGTTTAGTTGAGTTAGAAATATAGAGTTTAATTTTCATCCAATAGATGGCACTTCTAATGATTTAATTCTTCAGTCGTAAAATTATGTATTTTTATATTTTTATTTATTATATTTTTTTATAAAAACATAAGACCAGTCTTCCTCAAACGGTGGGTCGTGAGCAGGTTTCCAGGGGTCACGAGCTGTCTTCGCTGAATCAACATTTTTTTTTAGTCCTCGAGGTGCATGAGATCTGCACGTATAACATATGTTATGAACTATGACGAACTGTTTTTTCATTATTGTGGGGATAAAAGAGGTGTGTGTGTGAGGGAGGGGGTCGCGACGACCAAAGTCTGAATGCGGGGGTCGTCTGGCAAATCCGACTGAGAAACACTGCATTAGACAAACTTTTCAGTCTGTAATTTTGAAATGTGAAACTGGTCTTAGGCCTTTTACATTTAGACATGATATGCTATAACTGAAAACCTTTTTCTCTCGCATTAGGAATAACCCTTTCTTAGTAATTTCTTAGGATTGTTTACAAGTTATATGTTTTTACTTATGTACAAGAAAATTTGATTTCTTTAAAATTTTGTGGGTTCGAACTATTTACTGCCAACACTAACCGAAACCTGATAAGAGAATCTATAATTTTTTCCGAAATTTCAAATAATTCTGAAACTTAAGTTGAAACGATGTCATCGTACAGTTGCTGTTAAATTTTGTTATTGTTTATTGTCATTTATCATAACATAGTTAAAACAAAAACAAACCTATGCCAAATTTTATGTTAAATGAACATTTAAATAATAATATTTAACATGTCGATCACATGAAAGACAAAGTTTTGGTTCATCGTATTTTGTAGACAACTTTACAAATGATTATAATTGAAATTACAAGCTCATTTGGATTCGGATTAGAAGAAACTATGTTAAACTGAAAGTCCTAGGTTTCACTTTCCTTTCTTACATTGAGACTGTTTGTACATAATGTACCTTAATGCTGGGGGTATTCGAAGTAATCAGAAACTGAAATTTGTTTTGTTTTAGCGCAAAGCTGCGTCCACCGCTGGAATCGTGGACCGAATTCTAGCGTTACAAATCCTCTGAACCATCATGAGACTGTTGAATGATAATGAAAGTTTAATACAAATTTCCTAAGCAGTGCCCGTTATATTATCCAGTATCTGGATTTGCCAATTTCAACTGTTAATAAGGCTCTTTGACCAATTTTGTGAATGTTTCCTTACAAAATGTATCATATTCAAACACTGAAAGAGAGACGAGTTTAACCCGATGTGTTGATTTTGTAGTTTTTGACAAGAAGAAATTCGACGACCAATTGCCTGCCATGCTCTTGTGCACTAATGAAGCAAACTTTTCCGTTTTGAAGTGTAAAATGCGAAGTTGCACCATCTGGATAGAAATTAATTCACACGTAACATTTCCTATACATATCCATGATGCTAAAGTCAGAGTGTGGTGTGGTTTCACAGTTGACTTTACTACTTCTTTCAAGAACCATCATTAGACGAACTTGAAATCTGTATAATGAATGCTGCACAGTATCATGCAATGCCACAGCCAATGTGATTCTCCTGTTGCAGTGATGTAGCAATGAGTTGTAATTAACATAACAGTTGTCATACAGAAATATGCTCCTACTATATTGGTAACAAGATAACATGTCTTGTGGGAGCACTTTCAGGATAAAATCATTTCATGTCACTTCCCTTATGAATGGCCACTTTGTTCATGAGATCTACTAAGTGCTCCTCTAGTTCATTTATATTTTAAAAGGGTAAGAAGAGGTTAGAAAATTAAATATTGAAATAGAGATCTACTTAAATATCACTTCCCAAATGAGATCACGCATTAGGATATACAACTGAAATAAGTTTGAAATTCAAATTAAACTTAAAAAGATATCGTTGCTTATTATAACTATTAATGAAAGTGAAACTTGTAAAGTTACACATAACTCTCAGCTTTGTCGAGAGAAAAATACACAATTAGTTAATGGCTAGTGATAAATTGTAAAATACGTATCACCGCTGAACGTGAGGATACCCAACTGGTGACCTAATGCATAGTTGTTACAGAACGTTTTGTGATTTTCCTGTTATTCATAATTAAGCCTAATTATTATTAATTGTATCTTTGTAGAAGATTTTCAGCAACTCTTCTGGTAGAAGTTATAACGCACAGTGGCACAGTGCTATGTCTGCGGACTTACAACACTAGAAACCTGGTTTCGATACCTATGGTGAACTGAGCACAGATAGTCCATTTTATAGTTTTGTGCTTAACTACAAGCAAACATTCTTCCGACAGAAGGCATATAATATAAGTTACAGATATTAACTCTTGATATACAGGGTATGTAATTGAATTCCTATAAATAATCCATCAAGTAGGATACGCTGCTTAAAACTTCTAAAGATCCATGTTGTTGCACGTGCCTATAAATCCCGTAAACCGTTCATGATGTTGAACTTACTTTCTAACTCTGATAGAAGGTCCACGATGAATAATTTGCTGCATAAATCTTATAAAAGATCCATTATGTTAGATACAGGTATAAAATTGCAAAACTTTACTTTCGAGCAAAATAACACAAATGGCTGAGCATGCGTACTGTCAAAGTTCATTACTTTCAATTAGTTTTTATGATTTACCAAATATTATTAATAACGAATTCCTGCTTAGTGTTTATTTGTAGCACCATGCACACTGATCTGTTCAACCACAATTAGTCATTAATAATAGTGCTCGAAAACATTATGCGTAACATAAATAAAAGTACAATAACTAATGTTTCCGAAACTTTTAATGTATCTGTTTTATTGTTCAGTCTAAACATAACAAATAAAGTTTGAAACATTATGTCTAAATCGTCCTTTAATACTACAGGGACCTTGATTTTAACACCTCCTTACCAGTTTGCAAAAACAAAATAGAAATAAGACGTGAAATTTAACCCTCTATTGAAGCAAAGCTACATATTACACATCAAAGATATTTTCACACAATAAACAACATATCACACATAGACATTTTACTGAAGATAAGAAGCACTTACTACACAACGGGTCTTTTACTAAACTAAAATACTCGGTTGATTTTCTGATGATAATTTTGTCTCAGTCTGTTCGGCGGGTAACGAAAAAAAAATAAGTACATTCAACTTTTATTTTTTTCCTGTATAAACTGGTTAGAGCTGTGAGATCACGTGACAACAGTGAACTAAAAAAACGTGTCATAAAGATCTCGAAGGCCCTTAAGTGGAAACATGTTAGAGTGACTAAAATTAAACAGAGCAACGTGTTCCCGTTGTTGGCACGACATCAGTATAGCCAACAATAACCATTTTCATCTAACTTCTTACATTAACTATTATACACATATTTATACATAGTAAAACAAATATAACGATTAACAAACACAGGAACATGAAGACAGTAAAAAAAGAAAGAAATGGAAACGCAAGGATCTACGGCGTAATGTGTGATAACTATACGTTGAGTTGTTGAGTGTGTTGTTTGAGTTGCTAGGTTCTTCCAGTGTAACGTCAAACAAACGATTCTAGAGCGATTCTGTGATTTACGTCGGACTTGTAAAAAAAATCTGTAGTTATACAATAAGTATACTTATCAGATACTTAATTCAATGACTTCGGATGTTTAATATATATCATAATTTCTTGCTTGGTAACCATATGTAATCACAACCATGCCCTGGTGGTTAGAGCGTTCGACTCGCAATCTGCGGGTCACCGGTTCCAATTCTCGTCACACCGAACATGGCGTGGGGGTGTTGTAATGTTACGGTCAATCCCACTATTCGTTGGTAAAAGAGTAGCCTAGGAGTTGGGTGTTGATTAGCTGTTTTTCCTTTAGTCTGTCACAGCTAAATTAGGTACGGCTCAAGATAACCCTCGTGTGGTTTTACGCAAAGTTCAATTCAATCTAAAGAAACATATTGCATTACTCTTCTGTTTTAAGTAAGATATGTGCTAGTTTGAATTTAAATAGGCATGCTGTAATATATATATATATATATATATATATGTAGAGGAACTTATTTAGAGAGTAAAATGCTCACTGGTGATATAATGGAGAGGTAGGATATTCCAAGGTCTCGAATTAAGAAAACTTTAACTTTTACATATGTACAACGTTTAAAGTTATTTTTATAATGTTTTATTCGGTTATTATCAACAGTTAATACGTAATAGACATATGTATTGCATACTTACAAGCCCCCCCCCCCCCCCAGTAGCACAGCGGAATGTCTGCGGACTTACAACGCTAGAAACCGGGTTTCGATACCCGTGGTGGGCAGAGCACAGATAAGACCATTGTGTAGCTTTGTGCTTAACTTTAAACAAACATACTTACAAACGTCCTATCATGACGCAGACATGTATCATTCCGGAAGACTGCTGTATGAGTCTCAGCTAATTAGAAAGATTTACTTTATATCTAATAATAATTTATTCCTTTTTGTAATATCTATTATGCAGTAGTTTAATGCTTTTGTAATATCTTTTTTCAGCACTTGAAATTGAGCAGAACAATTTGGTTTCCTGCATTTTTCTTCTTTTTAGGAACACACCTATCTTGAGTTAACAGCAATTTATTATTAGAATTTCCTAAATCTCTCCCGCATCAACTGAGGCAGTCGATGGTGTAAAAATTTCTCGTTTTAGTCTAAATATCATGAAATATTGAACATTTATTATGTAGGTCTTATATGTATCCCACTTACCCTACAAAATGATTGGTCGCTAGTTAACACGCAATGTTTTTATTTTACGACGATAACAGGGAAGGCCAAACATAACTGGCTTACTAAAACAAAAAAGGAGAAAATCAGGGACAAGTGCCAGAAATTTAAGAAGTTTGAATTAACGTGTTGGTCGGAAGATTTACAGAATGATAAGAAAACTGTGGATTTGATTTAAAAAAAGAAATTTCGAAATATCAAAAGGGCTTATGAGCTGGCTGATAATGTTAAAACTAACGGCAATTGGTTTTTGAAAGTATGTTAATGGTAAGCAAAAATACTTAAATAGAGATTGGAACCTCTAAGGATGCTGAGTTCAATGGTTTTGTTGAAGACAAAGAGTAAGTTGAGCTTTTAAGTGCACTCTTTTGGTTCCGATAAGAGAAAATATTAGCAATATATCCCTGACCCTGAGCATTTTATGGAAAACACTTGAATCATGTAGATGTTAGTCCCTTACTGGTAGATAGAAAGTAAAAAGAGACAAATAAAATTAATAAACTTTGGTGACGTTAAACTCTTGGGTACTACAGAATGATTTGGATCAACTGGCAAGTTAGACAAATGCCTGACAAATGACCCTGATTTGTTGTAAATGCAAGATAATACGTTTTCAATTATATTATCAATGTTTTGATATTAATGTCTTTAATAAACGTCCCTGATAACAATAAAATTTGATTATCGCTCTGATGAATATGGCCGACTCACTTTGAACAATAGAGTGGGTATTTTATTATCAAGTTAAAACTTCGCAGAAACAATCAAGTGCGATAACCTCTGTGGTAAAAGTCCCTGGCTAAAGCGCGTAAACAAATATTTTACTATTTCAAAGCACTTTTAACACCAGACTTGATACTTTTTGTGCCGTAAAGCTTAATTTTAAATTAATTCTTTTGCAAATGAAGCTAGAAGTTATACTTAGACCTCCTACTATTTTTGAAAATCATTACCTTTTATAATTTAATCAGTTTTATTTGATTTTGGTTGGAACAAAAATTGGCAAACCACAATCTGTGTTCATTATCTAAATTATCACTCAAACGTCACAAACAGCTTCGATGTTATATTTTGTAAAATATTAAATCATTTTTATCATAAAGTATTATTATATTGAGTGTGAGTTCTTATAACTCCACGCTCGCCTCCTGTCAGGTTTTATAGGGCCGCGATTCTTTGCAGTAGGTGTCTGTGACTTGTTGGCGATAAATTTCAACAATAAACAAACAATACACAGTCTACTTGTTTTAAAATAATATATATTAAAATAAGCCAAACGTATATACAAGTGTTCGTTACACAGTTAACCATCACAGTTGAATCCAGAGGTTTAAACCAAACATGCTCGCCCTTTCAGCCGTAGGGGTGTTATAAAGTGACGGTCAATCCCACTATTCGTTGGTAAAAAAGTAACCCAAGAGTTGGCGGTGGGTGGTGATGAGTAGTTGCCTTCCCTCTGGTCTTACACCGCTAAATTAGGGACGGCTAGCGTAGCATGGCCCTCGTGTGGCTTTGCGCAAAATTCTAAAAACAAACAAACACTTTCTAAATCAAAACTATTTTCTTTTAGTTTCTAGTAGTTTTTGAATTTTTTGTCAAAATGATTATTTCATTTACTAGATACATACGTTATAAATACGTTTGTAAAAATTCAGTTGGTCCTGCTTATACTATTGATAGAACCAATAACAGTAACAAGAAGGAATGCAAAGCATTGTCTAGAGGCGTAAACATTGATTTCACCGCAACTAACCATTTTAAGTTTTAATATTTTAATTCAATTTCACTATTATTCGTTTAACCGTTAGTTTCAGTTGTGGTGTATATATTTTAAACTAACATTAGCGATAACTTATGTTCAAATATCTCAGCATCTCAGATCACTTTTCGCAATTATTTTCAAGCCCACGGGTTAATAGCAATAAATGTTACTTTTAGATGCTCTGTAATTGTATCATGGTTGAGATGGCATCAAATAGTTTTCTAGTACAAATTTTGGTTACTGTTGTCTTCTTGTTTCATTTAAAAATACGGATATGATGATGGTTTTCTTG